TTCTCTCAAACTGTGAAATCTGTAAAACTGTAAAAGAGCACCTACACTGTACAGCATCTTTGTGAGAATGAAATAGAACAGTGCAAACAAAAGGCTCGGCAGAGTGCAGTGATCTGGAGGATGCTCAACAACTGTGGCTGATGGTGACGATGAAGGAGAAGACAGCCCTGCATGCTGCAATGTTCTTGCCGTGACCTCACTTCCAAGCCCAAGGCCCATTTGCAAGGCTGCTTCTGACTCAAGCCAGTATTCCTTCTATTATTTCAGGGGGAAAAAAAAAAGGGTGACTCATACCATGAACTAGTGGAGCTCTAGGCTGGCCTGCACCAGCTGGAGAGAGGAAGGCCCCAAGGTGAAGAGGAAATATGAGCCCCCAGGGCCCGGCAGCTTTCCTGGGTTTCTTAGGCACCCAGATCATTAGCACCAGCCAGGAAGCCCAGGGAAAGTAGAGCGGAGGTCTCTGGGGAATGTGTTCCTAGTTGAGCTCAGGTGAAGAAATTCCTTCCTCTGATCTCATGCAGACAAAGTGTGGGCAAATGCAGCCAACCAGGGCTACACTTCAACCTGCTGCTACGCATGGCAAGAACCCTGACTTGGCAGGTTGGCCCTGGCTTGCAGAGCTGTGGAGGCAGTGATATTCCAGACCTAGCAAGGAGGCACGAGGACTTCGAATCATTCTCCCAAGTCTTCCTTCCAGAGGCGAGGGCCCCTTCTGGGTGTTCAGTTCTAGCTTTAGAACCCAGAGACAGATACCAATTGCAAAATGCACCAAGTTCACAAACACAACTTTGCTGGTAATAGAACCACAAATGGCCATGATCCTATTGGGGAAAGCTCAGCATCACAAATTATCCAACAAAAACACATTAAAACAAGAAGGATGCCAATTTATTGATGAACAGACTGGTAAAAATGCAAATACCAAGAGTTATCTGGGTATGGATAAACAGCATTCCCACACACTGATGGGGAGTGTGTAAATGAGTACAATCTTTCTAGAAGGCAATCAGATGTATGTTTATCAAATGCCTGCATAGTTCCCTTGATGGAGTAATTTCACTTCTAGGAATTTATACAAAGGAAAGAAGGCATACACACAAAGATACTCATTTCAGTATTGCTTACAATAGCAAATAAAATAAAATAAAATGGTAAACAACTTGAATAAGCAAAAATTTAAAAAATTTGTTGAATACAATGAAAACCAATGAAATACATATAGCCATTAAGATATCAAGATATTAAGTAAAATATTTATTGATGTGGACAAATGTTCACAGCATACTGTTTAGAGGGAAAAAGGCAAGTTATAAAACAGGGTGAGTCCAAGTTACAAATTGGCATAAACAGAATGAATGACTCTTTTTAAAAAATTTTTATTTTTTTAAAGAAGTGGCCAATATGAGTAGGAAATAAAAAAGTATGGAAATATATATATATAAAACTAACAGTGATTATCTTTGGATAATGTTACATATTATTTTTACACGTCTATTTTTTTTCTTAATCCTTAGCAGTAAAAATGTTTTAACAATTCTATAATTATTTTTAAATAAGGTGTTGGACTAGATGATTTATAAAGTTCCTGCCATCTCTGACATTTTGGGCCTCCATGACTGATGCCCCAAGTGACTTCAAACAACCTATATTTAGTGTAGGCTTTTGCCCTCAGCTGCAGCTTCTGCATTCCTTTCTCCATGCACTCGCTGCCCAGCTGTCTCCCCTGTCAGCCTGGGAGCTTCTTCTTGGCAGGGCCCAGCTGTGCCCCTGTGTGTAATCCATGTGCCTAGCCAAGAGCTGAGCAAAGAACAGGGCTCAGCACACTGACAGGTGTCATGCCAGCTCAAAGAAATAAAAGGCACAATTCTAGCATCTAAAATCTTACTGGACACAGGACTCATACAATAAAGTGCTTGGTTGTAAAAGGCAATAAAAACCAGGAGAGAAAGCAGGGCAAGCAGGGCCAGGAAGGCCTATTAGAGGAGAAGGCCATGCAGGATAGGTGGGCAAGGCACTCACGGCAAGGGGCACAGCCTGAACAAAGGTGAAACCAGCCCAAAGTCCTTTGAGATGCATTCTTTAAACCTTTCCAAGAAACTTTCACAATCCTTGTTCTGCTAAATTTTTGTACTTTGGCCCCAATGGGTAAAAGTTGAGTCTATCCTAAACAGAAGTTCTCCCTCTAATTTAGCCCCAGGTTAGACATTAAAGACAACAAAAATCTTTTGGACAGGACAATGAATGAATTACATTTTTATCCACTTTCCCCAACCCTCCCAAGGCAAGAGACAGAGAAGGGAAGAGTTTAGGAAGGGTTGTGAGGAAGAAGGGGCTGTAGGAACAATCAGACATCTCACATGCAAACATTGCTCACCCCCACCACCAGTCATTGGATTCTCTTGCAGGCACCAAGTCCCATTTGACAGAGGGAGGAATGGAGGCTCCCAGAGTTACAATGGCTTGCTCCGGGGTCACCCAGCCAGAGAGTGGGGAAGGTGACTCCACTCAGGCCTTCTGACTCCAAGTCCAGTGCTATTTCGAGGTAACACACAGGACCTGGAGTCAGGAGCCCTGGGTGGCTCTGTCACCCGCTGGCTGAGTGGTCCTGTACAAACCGCTCACTCCTCGGAGCCTCTTTCCCCAACTGTAAAATGAGGAGGCGCGCGAAGGCCCGCCCAGGTCCTCTTCCGGCTGGGCTCTCGGAGCCTTCTAAGGGTGACAGCAAAGCTCGTCCTATCAATTACATTTCCCAAGTTGGGCCGGCAAAGATCATCATAAGATCCTCGGCTTGTCACGTGGTTTAAAAAAAAAAAAAAGCAAACGTCCCAGATTAACTTTCACTGCACTGCTTCTGCTGACAACTGATTACCCAATTTTCTAGTTTCCTTGGGTTAAATAGTCCTGCTGGGTAGTCTAACTGGCAGCTAAAAGAGCAAATAATTAATTATTGGTGAGCCAATGAAGATGGAGTTAAAACCCACGTCCAGACCGGACAGTCCTTGCGGAGAATCCTCACACCAGTCTTCTCAGTCTATTTCAGGCCTCCCTCACCCGTGTCTTAGTGTAAAGGGTTGGAAAAGACCCCAGGCAAGTGCGAGATTGGGGGGGGGGGGGGGGGGGGACAGCGTCTTCCCAGAGGCCGCTCCCCACTGTCACCGTCTCCAGCCCAGTCCTTATAGTCCCAGACTATAGTCAGGAGGTCCTGAGGCTGGGACCCGCCTTCGGCGCAGACACTGGCGCGGGGCGTGTGACGGAGCCCGGCGACGGCGGCGGGAGCTCCACCGCAGTTTCGTCAGAGGTAAAGGTACGCGCCTGGCGCGCGCAGCGTGTGCACACACACACACACACACACACAAACATACACACACAAAAACACACACCCGCGCACAGCCCTCTTACCAAACACTCCCCACGACCTGGAGAAGCGCGATCACACGCACCAGCCCCTTCGGCTTCTGCCGAGAACCCAACCCTTAGCGCCTGCCACCGACCACAGGGCCCCGGACGCAGGGGTGTCTGCAGAGGGCCAAGACCGGCCTTTTCCCGCGCGCGGCGGGCTTCTTCTCAGCTACACCCCGCGACGCCGCGCCGTCCTAGCCGCCAGCCCGAAGTCGCCACCCGGAGTCTACCGGGAGCCGAACGTCTCCGCTGCTGCGTCCCCCTCCAAGTCGCGTCTCACCGCAAGGAGTCAGCTTGCAAGCCTCTCCCCGCCCACCCGGTCCCATGACAGCTGCTACCGCCCAAAGACTGGCAGATTATAACAAGAAGCAAAGTTTCCCTCTCTCCTCCCACCTCCCGGCCCCCCTCCGTCTTCTCCCTCCCTTCCCGTGTTATGCAAAACGGGCCGGCACCGGCGTTCCCACTCCAGGTACCAAACCAGCCCCCGCGAGCCGCGCCCGGTTCAGCAAGGCGGCCCCTCTCCGCTCCCAGGCGTGTCCCCGCATCCGGGGTCTCCTCCAAGCATCCACGGCATCCCCAGCCTCCCGGTGTCCCGCAGTCGGGATCCCGCAGAAAAAGCCCCAACTCTGGAGCCAAACTTTATACTTGCAACAGGCATGGGGTGGGGAAAAGGGGGAAAAGGGTGGGGGGCGCACACGCCTTGCGCAGACATTTTCCGTAACTGCTAGTCCCAGCAGTACCCTCCCCCAGGTCTCCAAAACACCAGCTTACTCGCCCTCCCCCTCCCCCGGCACACCAGAGCACCCTCTCCTGTCACGCGCGTGTCGCCAGTGGGGCTCCGGGGCTCACCCAGAGCCCGGGACGCCGCCTCGCCTTCCCTTCCCCCTGCATCAAGGAACGCGCGCCGGGGCCGCGCGCCGCAGGGGGACCCAGGCGCCCCCAGACAGTCCTTCCTCCCCCATCCTGCCTTGCTTTCCCCCGGGGGGCTCCGCCGGATAGCGAAACCAGGAAGGCGCTATCTCCGCCCGCATGCCCACGTGCCCCGCAGACCCCTATGCCCTTACCCGGCAACTGGCAGGAAACTCCGCGCTGCTGGCGCGGGTGGGGAGCTATGGGGGGCCAACAGCAGCACTTGGGGGACCGGAGGCTGGAAGACAGGGAGTCTCCGGGGATGGGGGTAAGAGCCGGTGCCGGGGCCACAAGTCCACGTGAAAGTACGGCAGCAAGTGCCGGGCGCTGAGGGCGCGCCTACAGCACCCCGCGCCAGCCTGAGGGTCCCTCACACCTTGGCGCGGCTCCACCTCCCCAAAGAGGCGCGGTGCCCCCAGATCTGCCCGCGGTGGGGGGGCAGGCTCCAGGTGCCCCAGGCTAGACCCTCCCCAGCAGCCGTGCGCCCCCAGTGCTTCAGCACGCGCCGGGGGACCTCCACTTCCCTACCCCTGTAACGGTGCGCATCGCAAGGCGGTAGAAGGGGGGCTCTGCAGCCTGGAACCCCCGATCTCCCCAGTGCGCCCACCGCTGCATGCCGGCCTTCACGGCTGCAGCTGCAGCCCCTGCAGCTCGGCACTTCGGCCTCGGCTTGCGGCTCCGGCTGCCCGTACCTGCGTGTCGGCGAGATAGTTGAGGAAGAAGGAGGAGAGCTCTTCGTCCAGCAGCGCGCCGCAGTCGTTCCCCGCCATCTTCCAGCCGCGGCTGCAGCGTGCGGCGGAGTCAGCGCCGAGCCGGCCCGGGGGGAGGGAGCGAGCGAGCGAGGGAGGAGGCAGCGAGGCCGGCGGGAGGCGGAGGGCGGAGCTCGGGTCCCGGCTGCCGCAGGGCCTCTAGCTGCGGGGGCGGGGCCGCACAGCGGCCGCGCGAGCCAGGGGTCGCACCCCGACTTTCCTGCGCAGCTTCTGGCGCCCCGACCCGGTCCCGCAGCCCCCAGCAAGGAGAAAAGCACCCGCAGCCAGGTGGCTGTGCCCCAGCCAGCAGCCGGATGCCTGCGCAGCAATGCGGGCAGCCCCCCACTCCTGCCAGAGCGAATCACGTTGCGTTAGCGCTGGGCGGGCACTGCGAGACAACCTGCTTCTGCACAGCTTGGGAAACTGAGGCTCAAGGAAGCGTAGAATCTTCTTTGAAGCACAATGTGCTTCAGTCGCAGGAGGAAAAAAGCTCCGAAGGCCTGAGATTGTCTACCCGGCTGCAATACCAGAGAGGGAAGGAGATACACAAGTCAAAGGCAAAGAAATCGAGGGAGGCTCCACGGAGGAGGTGGCATTTTTATTCTTTCTTTGAAGAATGCGTTGACCCATAGTCCGCTAAACTCGATCATCTCTCTCTTCCAGTGTCACCCAATAACCACCATCACCACCACCCAAAAAAATCAATGACTTCTCTTCCATAGCCAATAATGTCTTCAATTGACTGGGCTCCCATCAACTTCCCCAGACCGGATGGCTTTCCAGTTCTTGGGATGAAACCTCTCACAACCGGCCTCTATACCCAGCAGCTCTTCACCTAGTAAAGGCATCTTCTGGGCATCTTTTTCCACCACCCTTCAGACTATCAACCCAATGTCTCCCGTCCCTCCCTCATGGGCTCCCTTAGCTCTAGAAGCCTTTCTTTGAATACTGGTCACTTATCACTTTATGTTTTGTTTCAGTGAAGATGTCCGATTGATTGATTGATTGATTGAGTGATTGATTTTTGTGCCAGGAATTGAACTCAGAGGTACTCGGCGTTTGAGCCACATCCCCAGCCCTATTTTGTATTTTTTTTAGAGACAGGGTCTCACTGAGTTGCTTAGTGCCTCGCCATTGCTGAGGCTAGCTTTGAACTTGCCGTCTTCCTGCCTCAGCCTCTGGAGCCGCTAGGATTACAGGCATGTGCGCAGCTGAAATACATGATCTTTGAGTTTCTCCTTCCTGGACTCTAAGACCCATGAAAGCAGGCCCCAAATCTGCTTCTGCGTTCGGTATATTTCCATAGCAGTTTGGTATATCTTCATAGTGGTGTTTAATAAATAGTATGTTCTCTGAAAAAGCTGGAGGACGTGGATGCCCCCACCACCACCATGCACATGGTACAGATGAGGAAACTGACAGTGGCAGGAAGTACAGAACCACTGCTCAGGCCTCCTGACTTCAGTCTGGAGCTCTGTCATTAAGCCCTGCAGTCTGCCAGGCAGAAGGTGACATGCCACCTGGGTGAAGGCGGGAAGATAGAGGCCAGTTTTATTCGGCATGCCTGCCTCCTGCCCTATTCCCACCCTGTACTCATGAGGACTGCCCCACCCTGCCCAGCAAGGCCTCCTTTCCAGCCAGAGGAGGAAACAGTCCCCGGCTCACCTGCTCAGACTTGAACAGCAGAGCCAGAGCTTCCTTCTCCAGTCTGAGGTTCCCAGAACCGCAGGGTGTGATTTCACTCTTTGGGCTTCAGACCAGCATGCTTTTAAGGAACAATGCATGCCAACCAGGAGCCTACATCTAGCCTTGGAGCACTGGACTGGGAGTCCCGGAGTCCTGGGTTCTGGTCCAACCCCCCTGCCACATCTTGTTCCAGTGTTGGCCATTCAGGAAGTGAAGAGCATGGGCAATGGAGTCACCCTGCCTTGTTTTGAATCCCAGAGAGTTATTTGGTCTCAGACTTTGGTTTCCTCATTTTATACAAATGCAGATCATAAAATTACTTACTTCATAGGGATGTTATGATGATCAAAGAGATAATATATGTAAAGTGCTTGGCACAGCGCCTGACCTAGGAGGGAAAATGCTAAGCTGTCTGGTCCTGTTTCCTCATCTGTAAAAATGGGGATAAATATAAATCCCTTGAAGGGACCACTGACATTACTTATTTGCCTTCCTCCCAGCACTTACAGCCTGTTAGCTTAACTTGAACTTGAATCTTGGTGTAAACTAGCCAGGAGTTATTCTTTCACTTTAAACTAAAAAGATCATTTACTTAATCTCTCAGAGACCCAGTTTCCCCATCTATTAAAATGGTCACTGAGGGTGGCCTGTGGGGAAGGAACAAGAAGCTTTTGAAAAGAAAGCCGGATAACTCAGGTGAGGTGCCTTCTCACCTAAGTGCCTTACCAGCCCCAAGCCTATTCCAAGGACACAGAGATTAGTGAGAAAATCCCAACAATGGTGCTGCTCCCCTTAGGGACCTTGTAAACACTGAAGGAAACATATATGATATACATGACTAGTGTGACTCTACATCAGCTCTACATCATGTACCATCACAAGAATGGGAAGTCATATTCCATGTATGATATGTCAAAATACATTCTACTGTCATGCATAACTAAAAAGAACAAACTTTTTTTAAAAAGAAAAAATATATATATTGAATGAAAAAATTGTGTGTCAAATAAATTGCTTGGCCTCGCATCTGGCAGATAGGAAGTGCCCGTCATCACCATCATCATCACCATCATCACCAAGGACTTGAACTCTCCCAAGGCCCTCTTTTGCTATTCCTGCTGGACACCAGTTTCCAGAGACATCCCCATGCAGCTCGGCTCTTGATGGCTGTGGTGCCCTTTATAATTCAAAGGCCAAACTTGGAGAGTCCCCCCGGCCAGGCATCTCTAGTCATGGTCACGCAGCAGCCTTCAGAGCCTTGCCAGGGAAGGCCTCCACACCACTTGCCCAGAAGCTTTTTCTTTTGTTTTTACAATGGCAATGTGGTTAGAAAAGTTATAAAATGCCCAGTTTCTGGGATTTTTTCACAATCTCTGTATCCTTGGAACAGGCAAAAACTTAAGGGAGAAGGTACCTCTCCCAAGTTATCCAGCTTCCTTTTCAAAAGCATCTTGTTCCAGGAATTCCTTCCTTTCAGGCCTCCTTCAGTCTCAGCTTATCAATCACCTCTCCAGTTCATGCAGGAATCTGAAGTTCTTCATTGAGATTCAAGACCCTCAAGAACCCTTAGAGGTGAGTGTGATGGTACACGCCTGTAATCCCAGCAGCTCAGGAGGCTGAGATAGGAGGATCACAAGTTCAAAGCCAGCCTCAGCAAAAAGCGAGATGCTAATCAACTCATTGAGACCCTGTCTCTAAACAAAATACAAAAATGGGCTGGGGATGTGGCTCAGTGGTCGAGTGCCCTTGAGTTCTATCCCTGGTTCCCCCACCCCTCCCCCCAAAAAAAAAAAAAGAAAAAAAAAAAAAAAAACCTCAGGTGCTAGACAATCTTAAGCCATTTGCCTGCTCTCTGCCCTCAGTGACTTTTCCCCCCTGGGAAATTTAAGAGGCCCAAGGCTGCAGGAGCCTCTGTAGACCTCCCAGCCCAGATGTGCTGGCAATTTATAGGTCTCAGCCAAAACTTTGCAGTCCTTCTGTAAGTGAGCGTGTGCCAGACACCTGAGCTCACAACATCTCTAATCCTTTCAACAACCCTCAGCAGGGTGAATCATGATGTCCAGTTTATGACTGAGGAAACAAAAGCTTAAAAGGGGTTAAAGTGATTAGCTCCAGCGCAAGCAGCTAGAGACGCGGCTGAGATTTGAACAGAGATCTGTGCAGCTAACTGCCCCAGGGAGACTGGAACGGTGGCACATTTTTTATTTTATGACCTCCAAGTGAAGGGCAATATTAATGCCAAACTTGGACTTCATGTGGCTCCACTTCTACCTTCTCTGCTTTTTTATTGGCCTTGCCTCCCCGGAGAGTAGTGAAAGTGAGCCCTGAGCACAGTCTGCAAAACCCAGCCCTCTTCCAGCTCCTCAGCAATGGCAAGGGGAAAAGCAACCTACAGGGTTGGGCTTGACTATTTTAGTCTCTACCGGCAAATGCTCAAATGTGAAAACATCAGCATTTTCTCCCTTCTGATAATAGAAGAATGCTTTATTCAGATACTATGGCTGTGGTTCTCCAACTCTGGAGGGCATGACAGTCACCTGGGCCCTGTCACCAGAAATTCTAATTCAGTGGGTCTAATGGGATTCTAGTTCAGCCTTAATAGATTCCTCTAGATGACTCTTTTGCAAAAGACTACCCACCCACCATTCAGCAGATGTTTAATGAGCACCAGCTATGTGAGCTATGTGCCAGCCATGGAACTCGGTGCCACAGATAAATCAATGAACTCCACAGCCGCCATCCCTGCCCATGTTCAACACCAACTACTTTGTAAACTTGTATTGAATGAGGAAGGGAAGACATGGTCTTGATCATCACTGAGGTTTCTTGCCAGTGACCCACGACTCTGTGATTCTGTGGCCCAGGCCAGATTGCCAGGTGCTCACCAATTTCCCAGCTTCTGTCCAGGAGGCAGGGACTCCTGCCAAGAGAAAGCCATCTTCACCTTCCATTGAGCAACAGGACTTGGGAACTGTCGAAGAGCAATGGAAAGCGAGCTACCCACCTGCTTCATTGTAAAGACAGAGGAGTGCGGTCTGGTCACATGGCCCCTCAGTGGCACAGCCAAGACCAGAAGCCAGGACTCCAGATCATGTGTGAACTGCTCAGGCAGCCTCCATAGGACAAATTTCTTTTCAGAGATGATCCATTGGAAAGATATCACATAGATAGTGTCATTTAAGGGTCTCAGTTATGAACTTTTTTTTTGGTGAAGGGGACTACCGGGGATTGAATTCAGGGACTTTCGGCCACTGAGCCACATCCCCAGCCTTACTGTGTATTTTATTTAGAGACAGTGTCTCACTGAGTTGCTTAGTAACTTGCTTTTGCTGAGGCTGGCTTTGAACTCGAGATCCTCCTGTCTCAGCCTCTGGGGCCACTGGGATTACAGGCATGTGCCACCACACCCAGCA